AGGCTACCCTGGGAGAGTCCATCTCTATACGAAGGGCAAAGAAAAAGTTAGACAGGCTCCACACCTTGTCTTTGTCAGAACTGGTACGGAGCAGAATTGTTCCTCGCGAGGATGGACAGCCCTCCATTCAACCTAAGCCAAACGACTTCCCGGAGTGGGCAGCTAAGGACAAGGATGGTAATGTTGTTGATGAGAGTGCCCAGTCATTATCCCTAGTGGCTCTTCGCTGAATGACTCTGTTAATGACATTTTAAATGATCATGACTCTGATTGCTATAGTTTTTCAGTATAGTAAAGACCCACGATATATCACCCAAAGTTTTCCATGTTCTAATGTATTAAGTTAAGAGTGCTTTATATATTTGTTGTGAACCTGCATGGCTTCTTAAACAGGTTCATACAAAATTCTAAATAGAAATGTTAGACTGAAAGGTTTTTATTCGTGGGTTTTCATTCTGCACGTGATAATTTGATAATCAAATTTATGAGTTTGCGTAATTTACACTGTTTATACGATATGCATTTATTCTGCATGGCAGATTTTTATGTTATTTATATGGTAAATATAAAATTGAAGAAAAAATTATGTGTGCTGAGATCTTTTTTTTGTCTTTGGAGACATTACTTCCTGCTTTGCTATTAAACTCGCCACTGGAGCAGCTTGTTTGCTATTACGTTCAAATCTGAGAAACGCCAGAGAGATCTATGAATGGCATTACTTTTGTTATATTGATCATCTTAACTGCACGTACAATTTATTAACGAAAATATCTAAAACATGGCTTAACTGTAACTATTATTATTTGACATTTGCATTTGCGATTTTGAATAGTTTGTTTAACCATTAATGTTTAACCATTAATGGTTAAACAATACTATAGGTATTTAAATGGCAAATGGTAACGTCAAATAGACAATATACGTTTCTTTTCTGTTCTTTTCGTACGACATTAAATGTGTTTTAAGGTTAAATAAACATACAAAACACCTTTGCTTAAAGTTGAGTAAAGACATGTACCTTTTCACAGTTTCAACACCACATTAAATGTGATTAAAGGTTAAAGATACAAAACACCTTTTCATAAAGTTGAGTAAAGGCATGTACAGGTACTTTTTCACAATTTCAACACATATTAAATGTGATTAAAGGTAAAATAAAGATTCAAAACACCTTTGCTTAAAGTTGAGTAAAGACATGCACCTTTTTACAATTTCAACACCACATTAAATGTGATTAAAGATGTAAAATACCAGAGCAGAAAAGCTTTGTATATGTAGCTTCAAGGTACTTTTACAACTCATTTCTCTTCGCAGTTAAAGACAAGTTAGAAACCTTTAATTCCCTTTAAACAAACTTTTCTCATTCTTTAATAGGTCGTCTTTAATCATCTATAATTATACTATAATTTGGACATTTAAAGCCTCCAGAAAAATCTTTAATCTGCATGCTGAAAGGAGAGTTTAGGTACATTTACTAAATTTAATCAAACTGATTAAATGTGAATAAAGCCGCCAATAACATCGCTTTACGCCACCTTTAACCATGATGATAGCTACAGATTTCGTCCTGTGGTACTTATTTTGCATGAGTGTACATGACAGATTGTTTTAGATATAGAAAGTTATCATTTATAACCCATGGTTTGTTTAAAAAATGCTGGAAAAAATCTAAAAAGTTAGCCAATTGAAATAAATGCACTTCAATAACTTGCTAAACATAGTTAGTTGCTTTTAGTTGTTATTATTTATATAAAAAAAACATCTGTCAACATACACTCATGCTTTTCCTACCACTTAAGTCTCACATGCACTAACCATGTCTCTGCAAAATGTTTTGGATAAAATCCTATTTTAAAAAAGTCAATCCTATACTTGATATGCTGAACATATTAGACATCCACAACATCTCTTGCAGCAATTAATGGGTGTGGATACTTGCATAGTTCAGAAGCAATATATAACCAACATGGGGCCATTTAGTTTTTTAGGGGCTTCGGTGGCCAAGCGGTTAGCGCACTTGCCTTTCACCTCTGAGGCTGCAGGTTCGAGTCTCACTAAGTACCTTCTCAGTGCGACTCGAACCCAGTCCCCATGTGAAAAGAGTAAAAAAGTCAATGCTCTGCCGAAAGCCGTGGGTTTTCCCCGGGTACTCCGGTTTCCTCCCACAGGGAAAGTTGACAGGGTGGGTTAGGTAAAAAAAAAAAAAGGGCCCACAGTAATTGGCATATGCTGTTGCGGTGACCCTGCCCTAGTTGGCAAAATAAATAAATAAATAGTCTCTCTATCAATTGCTATTGCACTTGGGTCCCTTGGATTCAATTGCTCTGGCCTGACTGGCCGTATTCTTACATTCACTGGTTTATCTTGTTCATGAATGAATGGTACAGAAAAGACCCATGCAATTTAATATAAGGTAAACTTGGTATAGTAACTCACACATCATAATGAGGATCGCAACAATACAGCAATAACATGCTATTTTCACGAAGTATTGCAGCCTGACAATCTTGTCTTTCGAATGCTTTCATATTTGTTTACTCAGAGAGATGTTCACTCCACGACAGCCAAAGAGTCATTGAAGCCACGCCTGGAATTAGGTGCTCAAACCCATGATGCTTTGCGGCCCTGCTTGTCCGACCTCCTCTGGGGTCGGACATTGGGTTTAAAATTATTGTAGAATATGTATAATTATTGTTCATAATTATTGCATGTTTTTGCAGGAATATACCCGGGAATGCAAGAATGATTTGACTGTTGAGATACCAAACTACAATCATCAAATAATGCAATGTCAGCATTTTATTGTTCTCAGCGTGAAAAATATTGATAGAAATAAAATATACACATGCTAGTATCCTGATAGATAGAACATTGTATTATTATAAGGTGTCGCATACACTGGTACTGATGCTACTTTGAGTGTGTTCACACGCCGGGCAAGCAGAAGAGTTTGCTTGACAGCGATGGGAATCGAATGGGAATTGCTAGTCCAATGCTCTACCAACTGGGCCATACATGCATGGGGTCAAGTCAGTAAGAAAACCAAAAGTCGTGGGTTCGATTCCCACTGTGAACAAGCAAGAGGAGCATCATAAACAAACAGTGGTCTACATATTTATCTATATCCCACTAACAATGAATAAAATCATTCAAAAAAGAAACTGCGTCCAATATGTGTAATAAGGGTCTAGTTTTTAGAAATGAATACATTCAAACATATTCCCAGCCATGTTGTCATGACATTCAGTGTCTTACCACTGTTGCAACATGTGAAATGATTATGGCTGTCAGCATGTGGTATGCTATAAATCATTTCTGGCAAATGTTTTTGTCATGAGAAATGAAATCAATATTGCAGGTGAGAAAAAGAAACATTTCCTAGTTCATTCAATATTGTAGAATGCTGTTTTATAGTGAAATAAATCAAGATATTCCTTGAAAATTTGTCTTCCTTGGAATACACTCTTTTGATATTTATGTTACAACTCCTTCCTTGTCCAGGAAACCTTTTGTTCACAAAATTTTTTTTTATGAGAGTGCAGCTTCTAGGCCAAAGGGGTATTTGTGATTTAATTACCTAAAGGGTGTATTGAGATGGGTGAAAGTAAAAATATACTGTAGTTATATGTAGATGGTGGTGATATCATATCTTGCTTAAAAGGACAATGCTCTGAAATGCAACAATATTTTACTTGCTGTATTTACATTTTACTGATTTTAGGGATTGCTGTATAAAAGTAAGAGAAATCTTACTGTTTATAAATAATTATTTTTGTTTTTCCAAAGGAAGCAAAAAGGCTCACAATACTCAGGAGTGGTTTTCACCAATCTCTGATCCCAGCATGGAAAATAGCTCTAAGGGAATATCTTTATATCTCGATATATTTCACCATGAAATGGATGTCTAATACTCCGCTTTCCGCTGAGTCGACGACTTATGCTGACAGCCATAATCTCGATTCATGCCGAAACAATGCAGGGCATTGCGGAGCTAGGGCCACTATTTGTTGTATATTAGTTTCTCATCCAGGGCTTCTCCTAAAGTTGATGCGGGCGGACGGGCCATTACCATTATGCCATTATTTGCCGGTTTCCCCTCTACTCCCTGCCGTAAAATTTATTTTGGAAGCATTTAGCATTCATATAGTGCGTGTGTATGATTTATACAGCTGCAACTTTCTGAAAAACAGCACACAATCAGTAAGTGCAACTGAAAGCATGTTTTCATATTAAAAACATGGCCACTCCACAAGTAAAATAATTTTGTACCCAGAATGTCTCGTAGCTGAGTTTGGATATTTAAGCGTGTACGTAATGCGGGGAAAACTGGCAGTTTGGGTATGAAATTTCGTATTTTAACTATAACATTTGGTTTGGGAACGTTTCTAATTGTCTTTCTTTCGAATTTCACTTTGAAGACATCACAAAATTGATAGTAATGGTCAAATACAACAATGGCAATAATGGCAAACAAGATCATTTTCTTAAAAAGCATGCGGGCGGGGATGAGAAACTAATATACAACAAATAGTGGCCTAGCCAAAATTTCCGCAGCATGCCATTTTATTAATATGCCAACTGAGAGATCGGCAGAACGACTTTCAGTCTGAGTCAAGCTCCGATTCTACGGCCACAGTGCACAAGGCATCCCTTATCTTCCTCGCCCCATCGCTGTTCCCATCATTTCCAGCATTATGGCAAACAACTTATTGTAAAACTACGTCAATAGTCCTAAATTTTCCACTCTGTTCGCCCGCCATTTTGAAAGTTTCGCTCTGTATACTTCATGTAACTTGCATGTTTTGAATACTTTTGCAACGAAAACCGCTGCCCACCGCGTATCGCATATTGGCGCTTTTGGATGCATTTTTGACAGGTGTGTTAAACCATTATTTTGTAAATATATATACCATACCCTGTAAATTCATTTAGATTCCTCTGAAGATGTTGTATTGTAAACAACGAAACGTTAGCTAATAAATTTTTTACTTTTATTATGTTTGGATTTAAAGTTATTTGCTGGGCTCTGCTCTTTATCTTTAAACTAGGTATTTATCCAGTTGAATAAAGAAACAGTGTCTAAATCTTGCAAATAATTTCTTGGAAAATTTGGAAATGATCTCATTTCTCGACTTATCAGAACATCTGAAAATACCATTTCTTCTTTGAGAACCTTGACAATTTGATAGAGGTCTTTGTTTAAATCTTTTTTTGTATGCTCCCCAGAAACTGTCCTTATGTCAAGTTCTTGATCCAGCTTTTTGCATAACTCTGTCAATACAAAAAAAGCTTTTGAAATTCTTGTTACTGGTGTGGTGGAGATATTTGATCCTAAGCCCCTCAGCATGTCTTTCAACAAGTGATTATCATGTTCTAAGTCTAAATCTAATGGAATGCTATTTCCAAGTCCCCCTCTATTATTAACTGTTCTGTTCCATATTGTCCTTTGTGCATCCCTTGGTGTGAGAGTTGAAACATGAATTTGAAACATCAGATGAAGTGCTTCAAGGCAATATTTTGTCCCCCCAGTACCATCTTCAAAAAAGTATAGCAGAAAGAATTTGATACACCTTACTATTCTTTCACCGTCACCTTCATGGCATGCATCATTAAAATTTCTGAGTAACAATGTCATACTCATAAAATTGCAATGATAATCATTTACATCATCCTTAGTTTCTTGATCAATATCATGTTCCCATGTAGAATCTAGAAGAACAGGACTATCCATGACTTTTGGAGGGGGATCATGGCTCATTTCGTGCCTTCTCCTATAAGAACAGTCCTTTTTATAGGTGCGGTCACAACCCTTAAATCGACATTTGTATCTGCCATCAGGAGTACGGTCCATAGTGTTTCGTTGTGGTTCCCATTCTTGAATAATATTCATGTTTTGAATATGGATTGCATGTGTCTTAGGATTAGAAACATATTTACACAGGAACTTCTTAACTACATCTTGGAGGAACTTAAGCCTTTCACCAGCTGGTCTTGTTGCAAAAGTGTTATCAAATGCATTCTCTGTTGGAAAATCATCATTATTACTCATACCAAAAAACTGATGAGCAGCAGCAATAATGGTCAGCATCAAGCACAAGATAAGCAAATCGTTTACACTGAGCTGGTCTTGAGTGAGAATCAGATACAACATCTCTCCAGTTCACTAAATTTCGCAGGGCGAAAAGTGACGTTCTATCCCATGCTGAATTGCCACTATAAAATCTTGAGTAAATTAACTAAAAGAAAATAAAAGTTCTTTGAAAGTTGGCATGATCAATAGAATTACAACACGTATATTATTTTACTATTTTAACCCTTATCATAAATCAAACAGAGGAAACTAATACAATGTACTGGTATATTTGAACATATCATTATAATTTGCATATATAACCTTCATAGAAATTATATTATCGCTACAAATAAGGCGGAAATCTTATCTGGTGCACTTCTTAAATTTTTAGACCTGACAATTACCAACCAAACAATTTCCTAAATTACCATATGATGACCTTCTCAGTTTACCCTCTTTGACATTCTATGGTTGTTTTTTAAAGTGGCTCCCTACAATTTTTGCATAAAATTAAATATGGATTTAACCCATTAAGCGCCACCGCTCTCCCCTTGACGCGTAAAATACTAAAGTAGGGTGCATCAGGGTGCAATGCGACTCAATGGGTTAAGTAAGAAAGTTTGGCTAATAGTAACTGCAGAAACAGTAGAGGTCTTTGATCTTGATAAAACTATATTTAAAAGTTTTAAGATATGTTTCATAACTTGCATTGATATGCAGGGCCAGGCCAAGCAGTATTCCGGAAAGCAAAATTTTTTTCGGGGTTCCATAATATTGAACACGTTTGGCAATTCCAGGGCCCCTGTTTCTGCAAGTTGGGCCCCCAATCTTTACTATTCTTTGGGGGTTTTACACCCCCCCCAGTTGTTCCGGTCCTGTTGCTATGGAAACCATGACCTTTCAATATGTCCGCTTTTACATTTTGGTGACCCCCATTTTTATTCTATTTTTATGTATAATATTCCGAAACTATTGTGAAAATGTAATCAAGATTGCCAGTGTGGGAATTTTTATATATGAAATTGCACGTGCACTTGTGATTTTGACACTTTCACAATTGCTTCATTATACATAAAAATAAATTTAAAAAATAGGGTTCACCAAACTTTTTTGGAAGTTACAACGGTTTAAAGCCAAAAAGCAACACAATTAAGCGCCAGCGCTCTCCCCTTGACGAGTAAAATTGTCTGGCGTTAGACAGAGTAAAATAGTCTGGCGTTAGACAGAGTAAAATAGTCTGGCGTTAGACAGAGTAAAATAGTCTAGCGTTAGACAGAGTAAAATACTAAAGTAGGCTGCATCAGGGTGCATCGCCACTCAATGGGTTAACTAGACATATTGGCAGATAGGCCAAGTTAACCCAATAAGCGCCAGCGCTCTCCCGATTGCCACTCAATGGGTTAGTTAACTCAATTCGATCCGCCAATATTAATTTCCGACGTATATGACGGGAAGATTAAATATTAAAGAACTTCGCGAGTATTTGCAGTAGACATACGAAAATCCCACCAAAAAATTCCGCTTGATCGATACTATATATTCAGAAATATTCATATAATTTTATTGTTTCTCGCTCAATTTCAAGCGAATTTCTTACCTTGAAATGATCAATGCGGTGAATTTTATGCAAATGATACATTATCAATTTTGCTGTTGCATTTTGAATGTTCCGCCTGATTCAAATGCTCGTCTTTTTGCTTCTTTTCAACGTATAATAATAACAAATATACAAAAAGAATCGCCATCTTCCATTCTATAGCTCGGAGCAGTCTCGGGAAATTGCGAAATAATCTAAGCCTATTATGGCAATTCTCGTGATCGGAAAGTGTTCGGCCAACTTCGGACGCCAAATTCTTGGTAAAGCATTACAGTTTCCTGGTAAAAGACTGCAGGAATCACTTCTGGAGTGTTTGTTTACCCTAGATACGGATTTTGATTGGCTTAGGCAGAAAAACAAATCTTTTAGAGCAATTTTCCTGATTATCGCGCACGGGAACGCACGAGCGTTGAAATGTATTGTGTTGTAGTTTTGTTTGAATCGCATTCTGAAGACGTTTTTGGCTTTATTTTGCAAACTGATAGTGCTAGTAATGATGGAATA